GCTTGGATATCAACCTTGTGAAAGAAACAAGGGCACTTGTGATTCCCAAAACCAAGGCCGCACCAGGTCCAGGTGAAAGTCTGGCCAGAGCAACACGTACTCAAGCCGAGACATCAGAGCAACGCTGGCGAGGAGCTGCTGGAAGTGATCAATACCATGATTGGCAGCAGTCATCCTCATCGTCTTCCTGGTGGTCCTCATCCAACCGCAACTGGTGGCAAGATGACCGCGGTCGTGGCAGTGACTGGCGAGGACATGACTGGTGGAGTCAGCGCAGGTGGTGAACACGACGCACAGCGGGAGCTGTTGCCTGTGGAGAAGAGAATGAAATCTACGGGTGACTCGGCTATCTTTGTGCACTGTGTTTTTCCCTCAACGCACCGCGGGAGCGGTTGCCTGGATGACCGTTTCTGTGATGCACCGGGGGACCGGTTGCCTGAAACCAGCAGCTAATTCGTTTGAGTTCAGGTCGATGAACTTGGCTCTCAATCCTTGCAATGAAGAGCGCACATCTTTTGTTGTGTTTTGTCGCCACGCGGGAGCGTGTGCCTTGATGGCTTTGTTCCTGCTTTCTAAAAGGTTGGCATTGCACTCCCAGTTCCGCTGCGCAAAAGAGATTATCTTTGTGAGCTTGCTTTGAACGTTCATGCATGAATTAGTTGAGACATGTTCAACCCTAGCATCAAAGCATGACAGTGCATTATGTGATCCGTCCTTGAGGTCAACCATCCTCTCCATCTCAAGGCGCGTTCCGGTCCGATGCTTCGCACGTACCGGGGGACCGGGTACCTTCGTAGGTCCTTAATTAGTGCACTGTACATAACTTCACTCCTCCCATTTTCGTTCAGCGGGGGGTGTTGTTTCACGCTAGGATGTCGTATACATGTCTCACTTACCTACCGTTTGGCTCAAGGAAAACCAGGTGCGACTTGTTGGTAGTTCTCGGTCGTTTACCTGTATCTACACTAGTAGTAAGGCCTAGTAGCGTCCTTGCTCCTAGCAGCGATGCCCTTTGCTCCTAGTAGTGGTGCTAGGAGAAGCTTACTGCTGTGAGTGCAGACTTTCAAAGCGCTGGAAGGGGAACAGGAGATCGATCCTGGCATGGCGAGAAGGCAGAGTCGGAGCCCTCCCCTTTTTGTGTAACTCCGAAGGCCCCAAACTGTGAGACCAAACAGGAACGTACCCAAAGCGGAAGATGCATTCAAGTGGATCAAACCTATTAGCAATGGCCTCTAACCTACTAGCAAAGACCTCCAAGATGTTCAAGTGGATCATGCCCCGCGTCGGATCAAAGCTCCACCTCCACACTTGTCTTTTTCCTCCCTTTCGTAGTACGGAGCACTCCTGTTCGTACCGACTTGGCGACTTCAGGCTCAAAGCATCATGGTGAGTTTCTTCTTTCGCTTCCCAGCCCACTGTGACAACGACGCGACCTCGGGCATTCACGACGGTCAAACCGTGACGGAACCGTCGCTGGGACGTTTTTCGACCTGGGTTCTCAGGACTTCGTGAACTCCAATGCGCCCAATGTCACCAAAGTCTTGGCTGTCTCTGCGGTAGACACACTTGAATGGGCCACAGATCACACATTTGGGATCAAGTGGCCAAATGATGTAGTTTGCTCAGGCACATGTGCTTTCGCTCTTTTTGGCCAAGAGTTATGAATTCCGGCTTTCTTTTTCTGTTCTTTCTTGAACACGCACTCATAAGAGTGTCGGACAGGTTGCAAGGTGGGTGGCATTTTAGCCCGCGCTGTGCCCTTTAATGGCCGTTTAGAAGGCATCATTGTGGGCATTGGAATCAATGTCCGGACCCGAGATTGGCGGAGACTCGATGGACCGACGATCAGAACGACGAAGAATTGGAAGGAACGACGATCAGAACGGCTCGTTTTCGGCCACGTTTTCGCCATGTATCGCTTTGTGAGGTGAACACATCCCAAGAGGAATTGGATCGGTCTCGTGACTGCATCAGCATCCGCCGCTGCTGATTTGGGCATCGGTTGACAGATACTTGAAAAATCTTGAAAAGAAGCACTAAATGAGCACGCATATAGACGATTTGGTAGGTGGAATTGGTGGAATGGTAGATTTGGTAGCAGTATTCAGTCGACAAGGACACGCAGTAGACAGACTTGTGAATCGTGCACGTGTTGACCATGACCTATGCGATCTAATGAGCCCCTAGTAGCGCCGTTGCTCCTAGTAGCGATGCCCTTTGCTCCTAGTAGCGTTCTTGCTCCTAGTAGTACGGCCAGGAGCCCCTAGTAGCGTCCTTTGCTCCTAGTAGCGATGCCCTATGCTTCATTTTCACTTGACCATGAATCCACCCTCCTCTTTCGCTCGCCCTTCCAGATTTGAGGATCCGCCGCCCCGTGTGGCCGGCGGCCTCGCTGCTGACGCTCCACGGAGAGCGCTTCGACGTGCCGCGGCTGCGGCGAAAGCTGCTGGGAGGCTTCGCCATGGAGCTGCAGAGGCAGCGCGAGGGACCGGACCCGGACAGGGAAACCGGAAAGAGATCGGATGAACGTTGACAGTCCGGTGACATGTGATGTGAGGCAAAAGGTTGGGACCAAGATGATGGAGGCAAAGCTAGACATTCAATCGACATATTTCGAGGACTGCAGCTTGGATCTAGGTCCCAATCCCACTTGCAATGAGTTTTCATCTACTGGTCAATGGACAAGGAAAATCATTTAGCGCGCAAAAACAGGTTTCGGAAGACTTGGGTCTCCTTATGTCGTTGGAGCTTTCAGCTTTGTCTGACAGACCTTCTGTCTTTTTGATGGGTCTCTGCTTGTTGACTGAAGATGGGGATCTGGAATGAAAGAGTGGCCAACCAATTGACGATTCCATTTCTCAATGATCCACACAGCTGACTTGACAAAGAGCACCATTGAGCACCATATCTTCTGAGAGATAGACAGGTTGCTAGCCCTTTTTTCACGACCAAGCCGCGGGTGCCGCCGTGCTCATGTGGCGAGTTCACTCGCCAGGTTCTTCGCGGGTGGCTTCGCCGTGTTCCGAGAACGAGTCAACAGCCTCGAAGTCCTCATGGGGACCAAGGTGGTTGCCACGTGGGTTTTGGGCCGAAAAGCTGGTCACGCCATATCCGTACTCGATATCCGTCGGTCATGGTCGGTCGTTAAGCAGGTTGGACGCCATCTCTCTTGCTCGTCTTGATCCGCTGGCCACAGGTGTGGTTTCGAGCACATGAGTCTGATGAGTTCGAAGGTCGGACAGCCATGGGTGATGCAAGATGATGCAAGAGTCATTGCAAGAGCCATGGGTCATGATGATGTGGGGAACGTGGTTGAGGACAGCCATGAAAACTGTGAATGAAGCATCCTTTAGCCAAATGCCACAGCTGCTTTCGCAAAGTATTCCATGAGCCAGGTGTCTTCGAAGGCATTCAGGAGGGCTGCGTGCTCACAAGGGAATTTAGGTTGTGCCCCATATCATTTTGATGAACTTTGTTTCTCACAGGATGACGGGCTCATATTGCTTCGCCTAGCTGATGGTGAGGTGATCCTTGGCTTGGTATTACCTTTCCTAGCTTCATACAACCTGGGCCCTGCTCACAGTGCACTTGCTGCCAAGGAAAGCCTTTCCATCTGGGGAAATCATCCCTGGTCCTGGAACAAAGTGAATGATGGAGGAAAATTGTTTGAGCCAACAGTTGCTGTCTGACGGCTCGTTTTGTTTGCGGAGCTAATTAGAGCCTAGGATGGTTGATGACATCAGATGATCGTGAAACATGCACTGCTGCATGGGCATTTGGGGCTCAAAGGTTTTGCTCAGAACAACCCTGTCTGAGTCCTCCCACAAGCTGCCAGATGCTCAGCGACATGTGTGCAAGTATGTCCAAGTTGTGTCTTTCTCTCTTTCAAGCAAGACAAGTTGTTTGGTCATTTACTTAGGTCATGGTTCGAGTGTGGGCATTCTTGGCCTTAGTGGCAGCAGGCTTGGGTTCATTTTCGAGCTTGTTTCCAATCAGAGACGCACTGATTCAACCAAAGACTCTTCAAACAAGAACAGTCTGGAGGCAGCAGCTTGGTTGGTGCCGAAGAGGCAGAGGCTGAGGCTGAGAAGGTGGTCGATGGCTTCAGTGACAATGACAGGGCCAAGATGGCTGAGTCATCAGAGAAGCATGAGTTTCAGGCTGAGGTGAACCGTTTGATGGATATCATCATCAACTCGTTATACACAGACAAGCAGGTCTTTTTGCGTGAGTTGATCTCCAATGCAGC